GTGCCAATTTCCAGAAGCAAAGTATTTTTGATTCAAAGCAGAGTAATCCATCACCTCTTTTCATGCAGCACAAACCATAAGCATATCCTGTAAATTAAAATGTATATTATGTCAATACACTTCATTATAGCAATCTGCCCTTTCCTCTTGTCTTCCCTAAGCTTCTCTTCTACTCAAAAATATTATTATGTACATTCTAATCACCTCAGTGTTTGCATGAAAGGCTGAGCTTGATTTTCTTTTCCATGTCCTCTGGAAATCTCAAGCTTCAACAATTAAAATTCTGCAAAGTTTTGCTTCTGCAATGGTTAATAAAAGACATTAGCTCTATCCACAAATTTAGGTTTTTGTGAGAAGTCAAATGCAATAAAAAAAGCTGTGTCTTTAGTATATAGGACAAAACCCCTAATTTTTCAGTTTGTAGACCATGATTGTGAAGATACAGTGCTTATTATCTAGCCCCTCATCTTCTAAGTCACTCTGCTTCAGCAGATAGCATCAGTATCATCAGTTATCTCCTACTCTTGGCCTCTTTTGCCTTTAAACACAGTGCCGGGAAGACTCCAAGAAGAGTCAGAGGTGAAGATGAAATGAAGATAGCATTGCAGTACTCTTGCATTTTTCTTTTTGCAGGAGGTGGCGGTGAGCGGGTACCAGCGATTGAACTCAGGGGCACTCGATCACTGAGCTATATCCCCAACGCTTTTTTGTATTTTATTTAGAAACAGGGTCTCACTGAGTTGCTCAGCACCTTGCCATTGCTGAGGCTGGCTTTGAACTCACCATGCTCCTGCCTCAGTCCCTTGAGCCACTGGAATTACAGGCGTGTACCACCATGCCAGGCTCTTGCATTGCCTCTTAAAACCAACTCTATTTACGACATTTTTTCACCAGTCTTAGAGTCTGTAGCTTGGTACATGAACACAATTCACATGTCTTTACAACTCTTCAAATGAGCAAAAATGTGCACCTAGATCTGGGTCAGTACTATAATTAAAATATTAAAATATAATATATCTTGTGTGTATGTGTATGAATTCTTCTAAAAACATACCAAAATGTTTATGATGCTAATCTCTTGGTGATGAGGTATAAATATTCTTGTGTTCATCATGTAACTTGTGGGGATCTTCCAGATTTAAAAAAATTTTTTTTTGTAGTTCTAGATGGACAGAATGCCTTTTTTTAGTTGTTTATTTTTATGTGGTGCTAAGGATGGAACCCACTGCCTCACACATGCTAGGCAAGCACTCTGCCACTGAGCTCGATCTTCCAGATTTTATGATTACCATGAGAACATTATCAGAAGAAAACAAAGACCTAGGGTGTTATTGGTAAAATGCAACTAACAGTTACTCTCTATTTGAAACCCTGCATTTCACAATCAGAACACCAAGTTACTTGTCAGTGGTGTGGACTGCTCTTCAACCAACAGAAGCACATATAATAAAATAGATATATGATACGCAGCAGTGGGGAAGATGAAGCACAGCGTAAGAAGGCAGAGCCAAGAGGGAATTGTGTGTTCAGAACACACTTTAGAAAGAGCTGAACCTACTGAGCAAAATGTGTTTTTGTCTGGTGAGAGGATGTTTATCCACAGTGTATATGATGTTGTTTGAACTTTAATCTATACACACAATGCATTTATCATGAATTCATAATTTTTAATAAAATTAGATTATAGTGTAAAATATCATTTTATACTTTGTGTTAAAGTTATTCAAGGTGGTAACCAAAGGTATGCCTGTGACTTTGGGGATGGACTGATGTTTTAATAAAAAACCTAGAGACTGTGAAAGAAGATAGAGGTGTTTGTTGGAGACTCCCCAATTTCCATGACAGCACAATCCATCTTTGACTCTTTCTTCTTCTTCAGCAGTGGGTTCTCAGCTTCACCTCCATGTTGTCTCAAGAAGCTGCTCATCTTGTTCAATCCCATGGTCTCTTTCTTGTTCCTGGCTCTGATTTCTCTCTGCAACAGCATTCTCTTAAGTTTGTGAGCCCTCTTATCTTGTTCCAACAGCACAGTTTTTCCATGGTTGCCAGATTTATTTTCTTGGAGACACATAGGCTTCTGCCATCTTCTGCTTAATAAAACCTTCATTGGCTGCTCATTACCATGCAATATATCCCAAGTGATTAATCCAGCTTCAATCACCTCTGATTTGTCTAGTTCTAAGTTTTCTCATTTAATCTTTACAACAGCTCATGCAATAGGTGCTGTGACTCTTCCTACTTGACAGGGGAGAAAACGGAGATCCAGGGAGCCTCGGTGACTTGCTCGAGGTCACAGGCAAGTTAAGACTTTGAACCTGGACAATCCAGGTCTGGAGGTTATGCACTTGCTAACTTAGCTCTCTGCTGTGCTCCTCCAATGAACGGAAGTCTCCAGGGCATGTTCGTTGGTAGAATTTCAAACTATGAAAATGTTTCAGAGCAGTTAATAGGATATCAGCCTTCTTAATATTCGTTAAAACATATAGCTAACCATATAGGGTAGTGAACACAAGTTTCTTTGAATTGAAGGGTTCAATTTGGGTAGCCATTCAGAGCCACAGGGCTTTATGATGTCTTCCTTCTCATAGTGCAAAAACCAGAACACCCTGTTCCCACTGAACCTACTCTCTCCAGCAGTGGAGGGGGTTGCCAGTTCTCATTAAGCTTTATGAAGCTACGTGGCAAATGGAAGCCAGGTTGCTTGGAGACTAGGTATTCTTATATCTTTCGGTTGCCCAGGATATTTCCTGGGACAGAGCTCAAGAGTTGAAAGTCCACAGGTTGGGGTGACTTTTTCCTTCCTGGGCAAATTGATTTAGAGGGAGTTAAACAGGTTCCAAAATATGTAGGCTGTCGCTGATCCATGATCTTTTGGGGGATATTTCTCTTCTGATGGAATAGCACCACTTCCATCAGCCACCATGTACAATAAAATGTATAGATTTTTATGATTAAGAGGTTTGGGCTATAGGCAATAATATAGTCATAATTTTACGAGCCTATTCCTTTGAGGAGTACTGAATAAAATGAAATTTTAAAAAAAATCACTGTTTTACAAATCCAAGTTGATCATAGTTCAGCTGTTTTTTCCTCTTGAATAAAAAAATGTTGTACATTCATCATATAATATCCAAACATTACAGAAAAGCAGTTGTTTATTTCTATAAACAACTTCTCAAAGAGAACTGTAATTAATAGTTTGCTGAACTCCTCTACCTCTAATCTTTAATCCACATGCACACTTATTCATCATATATTATTAATGATAATTTAAACAAAATTAAATCTTATTATGAATACTCCTCTAAACTTTAGAGTCAAAATGAGCTAAGGTTAGTGAGTGTAAAACCACTCAAGAATTATCATATCACAAAATTTACTTTGTATATGGGAATCTCAAAATTTAGTGTGGCCTAATTTGGTATCTCTAATATGTTCTGTATTCTAATAAATGAAAACAGCTTTGAATTTAAAAAAAAATACAAACAAGTTTTCCTCTTAAGTCACAGAAACTAACATTTTTTTTAATCCCCCACATCATTCTATAATGTCTCTACTACTGAACTGACACAATAAATATTGCAGGGACTTTGCTATTCCTCTTTAAAAACATGTGGAAATCTATCAATCAAATCTGGTATTCACAAGATTCATCCACATTACCTGCTTACTTATATGCACATGCATTTCAAGATTTTTCCTTCTGGGGCGGGAGTTCTCATCCTTCAAAGAAAAGAAAAAACAAACTGAACAAACATAAAAACCATTAATATAACTTACATATATATAGATATAATTTATACATATATAACTTAAATATGGAACAAACTCACAAAACATTAATATAACTTACATATATATAATTTATATATAACATAACTTTAATATATGTTAAGATAAATGTTTTGCATATATTTTAAATATATACTCATATGTATATTTTATAAACATCCATGGCAAATAAGCTTAAAATTTAAAATTAAAGGAAAAAGCACTCAAATAGAATAAATGGAAAAGAAAGACTTCTACAGATTAGATAACAGTGACCAGGTTTACAATGGATCCCTCTCTTTGTAGACTCCTTGCACCTCCACTATTATTTTCTAAACACTTTAAACATCTGGAAAATTTTCCACGAAAGGTAGTTCTACGCTAAATAGATATAGAAAAACCAAAAAATTAGTAAACAGAATAGCGTAGAAGTTATACTATTTGAAGAATATGGATGTATTTGACGAGTACTCAGAATAATAGAAATTACCTCTGCCTTTTTCTCTTCTCACCTTATCAATCCTCCTTTTCTTTCTCCCTTTTCTTCTATCCCTTTCCATATTTAAATTTCAGAGGTGGCTTAGGAGCAGAACAGAAACACTTATATTGGGAATATGTTAATAACTGCATTCAACCACGTGAAGAATTAACCTTATCTATTTATTTAGACCAGGAAGGACTAAATGACAAATAATAGTAGGAAATTTCAAGGAACCCAATTTTAATATAGGGAAAACTTATCTGCACTCAGTGGTGTACATAGATGAAAATCATTGAACCGAATGGTGGTGGTGGTGGTGGTGGTGGCGATGGCACTGCTGTTGTCTACAATGCAAGAAATAATTGTTAACCTGTTTCTATCATTTTGAGTACATTACATGTACATTACACCCCTGTCCACGCATTTAACCTTTACAGGAGCTTCATGAAGTAACTAATTCCTTATTCTCATTTTATAAGTATGGGGATTGGGATATTAAATCCTTTTTCCATGTGTTATGGATAAGGCTGAATATAGGGCTTTGCCTCAAAAAAAGGATAGAGACAAGCATTGTAAGGGATTGCCTCCCCGTAGAGACTGAGCTCATAAGTACATTGCTAAACTGAGTTGTTGTGAATCATCTATTAGTGAATTAGCCATTGCATCATCTAGATAAATGTTCCAGCGAAAGGTGAAAGCCACTGTGGTAATAAAAATGCAGTAACATTCAAGGAACTGGTGAACTGTTTTGTTGGAGTTCATGGGTTTTGTTTTCATATGTTATGATCAATCATAAAGGTCACAATTTCTGGGTTGGCAATTTTGGGAGCCTTTGGAAGCCACCCCTGCCCACACATACTCATTCCAGACAATGCTCGCTTCCCACGTAAGTTACCAAGTACACCTTAAAACCCAGCAGACTTTGGAAGACACCATCCTCATGGCAGATTCAGCACATGAAACCTTCGTTTATCTTCAGAATTCTTAAGTCTTTCTTCTCATAGCCTCAGTGTAAAGCTCATCTCCTGTGCTGCTTCATTTTATTCACTTGAAAGAAGGAGGTGCAAGGATCAATGCAGTGCTGTAGGAGCAGTGGACCAAATCCCTGCTTTAACTGGAATTCAGGACCCAATACAGAGGGCCCTTAAACAGTCTGCTATCAAGATGAGTAAACACGTTGCCATATCTCTTTATTGAAGTACTTGCTGCCATGAGCATTAAGGAATGGCAAGGTTTCTATGGATGTCATAGCTTTCCACATGAACAATACATTTCACTTCAGAGATGTGTGCTGGAATTGGCTGTATTGTCTGTGTTCTAGCCTCTGAACAGATATGACTGTGCATGTGTGTAGTAAGTGACAGATTTTCCTGTTCCTTTTGCTGGAGCATAAGCCTAAAAGGATGGGACTCACTACTTGCATGATAGCTCCTTTCACTGGTAGGACAGCATTCTATGTAAGCTCAGAGAATGTGCAGAAATATGACAAGGTAATTAAAATTATCATCAAACCTTGGGTAACTATTTAAACTTCCAAGAGGTATCCAACTGCTAATTCAAATTTCTGAATATCTCATCATTCCTCAAAAGCTATTTTGCATTTGTGTCTATTTAACAGGATTCATTTGTATGAGTTCATTTTTTTTTGTAAACACTTACCCTAAGAAACTGACTCCGTAAAGACATGACAAACAACAACAACATTTGTGTTGTAACAGTAATTGTGCTTTAAACAATTTTTTTAAATAATGTGGGTTTTTTTGTATTCCAATAAGTGGATTGGTGCCGATTCCTGAATATGTTTTTCCAACACAATTTATGAGAATTAAAGTCGGCTCTGCGTCCTCGATTTCAGATAACTCGACAGTGGTGCACTCCTGATAGCATGTGATTGTGTCTCTTCTCTGACAGCCCCGGGTCATTTTCCATGCCATTCAATTAAAAGAATTTCCATTATGACTAACTTCATGTGTTCTGAAGATCTTTCATCAAATGGTACAGTGGGGCATTATTTTAAAATAGAAATGCCCATAATAGAGCTTTTTATTTTCTTCCTACTGGGACACTTTTCTTTTTAGTGTTTGTACATCACCCAGAACCAGACGTTTTATTCCCCAATTGCTCCTGGTGCCTGCAATTCCCCACCTCTAAAAAGTCAAGCTTGAAGTTCCATCCAGGAAAGGAACATGGCAAAAGGAAAAGTAAGCAAGCGTTGAGCTGTGGACACTGTGTATTCTCGGTTAGTGCATGGCCCACTTTCTACTCTGGTGAAGGAACTTAAAATGTTAAACTTGATTTCAAGAATTGTAAAGGTTTCTTATCTCTGAAGGTAAAGAAGCCCAGTCATGTCCAAGAAGCAATTGGAATTTTGCATTGATGTTTTCTCTCTCACGTTCAAGAAGGGATGGAACAAATCTCTTTATGAAAATGATTTTGTACTTCCCCAGCCAGTAGGTGTCAATTCAAAGGACGCATCCACCCAGATCTCTTAAATTCTAGAGATCAAAGGCCATTTAAAATGACCATGGCTCTAAATAAACACATAATTCACATGGAATATTTTATATTTGTTCTACCTATTCAGTGTAGTTCACCTCCCAGCAACCAGTAGTGTCTTCTCATGTACTAATCCATGGAATAACACTTCTTGGGTTACTTTCTCAATATTTTTGGACAGCTTGTCCTCACTTTAGAACGGCACAGTGGTTTTATTTAAGTAAAATTATCTTCAAGCTGGTTTCATTCTTGTGTTGCTGAATGTAATAATCTGTCTCCAAGAACCACATTGCAAAGATGATGTTAATATGATACATGAAAAGTAGCTCCACAGTAGCATTCATTGCAAATAACTCCAGTATTCTATACCAGCTACAATTTCATTGATGGTAAATCTTTATAAAAATGATTTTAGTATGAAGAGTTACTTATCTCTATTGTTTTTATCCTCCAACCACCTGTCCTAAAATACCTCCAGGAAATAAATTTGTTGATAAATGAATTTCTCTTTCTCTCTGTCTTGTGCCTGCAAATTTCACTTTATTTTCAACATCCTTTTTTTTTTTTTTAATTGTATGCTCAAGTAGATAACAGTGATAATGTAGAGCAAAGCTTCTTAGTTTCTCTTTTAACTTTGTTCATTTTCATATGGAATGCTTTCGCTAAAAGAATCTAGGAAATCACACCTGTCACTTGGATGTCTCCTGGTGTCAGGATGTAGCACGCCATTAGCAATGGAATTAACAATGGGGGACTGGGGTTATGGCTCAGTGGTAGAGACCTTGCCTCACATGCATGAGACCCTGGGTTCCATCCTTGGCACCACATAAAAATAAATAAGTAAATAAAAGTAAAGATTAAAAAAATGGGATTTTGGTTTGGTACCAGTTGACTCAGCCCTAGGAAGGACTTAGCTCAGCACCTAAACTGACACATTAATTATACTTAACATTTTACAGAAAAATGTGTTGCTTTCTGAGAAACCATTACCCTTATGGATTATATATTTTAGATAAAATCCATGGAAACACATGCTTATTTTCTTGAAGTAATTTCCCTAAATGGGCAATATTGAGTATGTCATGTGCCATAGGATACTATTCTAAAAGATTCTTATCAAATTTATGATAAGGAGATTGTCAAGAATCCAGAAATATACATCCTTCTAATTTCATGTATGTATAGGGATTAGGGATCTAGAAACTAAGGTATTCAAAACAAACTGCATATTTTCATAAACAACATTTCACTGACAAACAGCCTATACCCACTCATTTATACATTGTTGATAACTACTTTTGAGCTATAGTAATGTCCTTAAGTAGTGATGACAGATGTCAACAGTGACTCACAAACCTAAAATATTTACTGTCTGGCCCTTAAGGGAGATATTTGTCAATAGCTGATGTTGATGATCAGCTTCTACCAGTTTTCTGAAAAACTTAATGACTTATTCAATAAATATTAGCAAGAATTTACAAAAATATAGAAGCTAGGAAAATAGTTAACCCAAATTAGCTAAACAAAATAGTTAACCCAAAATTAGTCCAGTTGAGACCAATAAAAGTGTTAAATTGTTAAATTGCTGATTTTTAAATAATCCTTAAATAGTTCAATGTTCCTTTAAATAAAGATTTTTGAGATTTTTTTCCCCCAATTTATTCCACAGATGGGGTTGTGCTTTGGAAGTCTATATTTATAAAAACTTGGCTGCATTTTGGGGGCAAACAGAATAATCAAAACAAGAATGCCTCTTCACTTTAATGAAGAAGAGAGAATAAGCTCACTTTCAACAAAGACAATAAGAATAAAATCCACATTTTGTTCCAGGAAGCAAAGATTAATCTGAGGTGTGAGTACTGTTATCTCAACCACTGAAGAGTCATATGCTCCTTTATAAGGTTTCTGTCATTGAATTTCAGAGAGATAAGAAGCAGGATGAACATAAATGGCGATGTTATGAACAACCAAATTATCTATTCAACTCCAGGGAAAGCAGAGTGATGGGAATATTTCCAAATGCTATTGTTGATTCTGTTCTTCACACTACAATATTAATGCCTACTATTCCAAGGGGCTGCGTAACAGAGGGCAGATCACATGTCTCATAAACAATACCAGTCTGGGATGTACTGTGCATTGATAAGGCAATAAAAAAAAAAAAGCACAAATGGAGGAACTCTGTTAGGAAAATATTAATGGGTGTGCAGCAAGTTTATGGATTGGTACTTTCATTCTAAACTGAGAACAATTGCAGGGAATTGAACTGTTCAATTAAATTTTTCCCTGCCAGAGCAAACATGAAGACAAGACATAGAGCTCAGAGGAAAAACCATTAATCAGTTTTGTCATAACACGTCCCTTGACTCCATTGCTTCATTTTAGAAAGTGACATCAAGAATAATTACCATCAGTCATGCAGATTTCAGGACCCTATGGGAGAAAGATATGTTAACATCTAACCTCACATTATGCAATGTTTGGGTATAATGTTCAGAGTCAGGGAAAATAGCCCTCAAACTCTTTAAGGCAATTTTTGGTCCCATAAATTAAAATAAACTCAGCAACATAAACCAGCACTCAAAGAACTCTGGCACTAAATCAGTGAAGACTATACCAACACAAATATCACTCTCTATTTTTCAGAAATGAGATGAAAAAATAATCATTGAGAATCTACAGATTTTTTGAATTCCCACCATCAGTTCATGTTTTTATGTTCAACAGACATTCTGAGCTAGAGAGAAACTCAGGACTAGACGGTTTTGCTATCCAGTGTTTAGAAGTATCCTCAACTGGTAAGCGTTTCTTTCTCTATTTGAAAGAAATGGGCAAGCGCTTAGCTCATCCTGGCCCCTCAAAGCCCTTTGGTAGGTCTGACAGCCCTTGGAACACATCAGCCATCAGTCATCTTGGATCACAAATAGCTGCAAACAAAGATTTCCCTACCATTGGCAGGATATGGTGTTAAGAGTAAAAATGGAGATATGTACCATATGTTGGAGTATTTAAATTTACAAACCAAGCTCAAAATGATCTTGATGAATGCTGCTTCCTTATGACCTGCAGAGTCAAGTTTGACTTTAGAATTTTCAGACACTTGGGTGGTTTTCGCTGGCATAGAGAGGGAAGGAAGCACCAGTCTGTAGGGCCTGGGTCTAAGCTACTGTCTATTTCTCTTCCTGCTCCAGGTTCTGAGCTGTACTATGACGGGACATGCAGACATTCACAGAGGTACCCACCCATGAGGTGTGAGTAAGATCCTTCCACTCTCCTCAGCATCTCCAGTCTGCTAAATAGGTCCTTTGTGTACTCCTTGGATTTAGAAATATACATGTGGGTTTAGGCCTCAGGAAGAAAAGCCAGAAATCAGGCTGAAGCTCTTTGGCCAATAGATTCTGTGATTCTAGTCACCTGAAGCCTGGTCTAGAAGGGAAGTGAAATTTCCAGGAGATGGTGCCCCCTTGCGCCCTTCTTGTTCCACAGGGGAAGAGTGCACCCCACAAGTGACGTTACGGAATCCTCCCAGGATAAACTTTGCACAGAGCTGCCTTGTCATCTCAAAATCTAAGGGCAGTGCCACTCAGGTGCTTCTATTGTTGAAATGCTTACTTCCATAGTATCCCATTATATTTTTCTACTTGTGTTTACTGTATAAATTAGAAAATATCTAACTCTCAGCTAGAGGAGGAAAAAAGACCATTGTGAGTGAACACCATTGAATAGGAATTCAGGATAACTTGAGTCAAATTTTAAAGCCCATAACATCAAATCAAGCAGTTCATGAGTTTTGCAATTATTTTTGTGAAGGATTTATTGAATTTATTGTTGGTTACTACATATCAGCCATGGCCAAACCAGCTAGGATTCATCTTCATCCACTTTAGAGTCTCTGTCCCTGAATTTGAGGAGATGCTCTGTATATCTTCATATGAGCTGTGGTCTTGTTTAGACTCTTTTTCTTTATTCTGGTGTTCCAAACGTCAGATTGTTTTTTTTTTTTTTCAATGTGAACCTCCACTATAGATGTGCTCCTTCAGAGAGGAGATCCCCAGGGTTTATTCTTGGCTGTCTTCACTTTCCATGATCCTCTGTTGTCTGACGAAAGCTCCTCCAGGTCTTCTTACTCTAATAAAATCATACTGAGGATACAGAAGTTATGTGTGCTGGGGAAAAAAAGTGTCAATGTGGAGAGAATCTTTAAGCTGCACAGATGATTAGGTATTGACCTCACAGCTCATGAAGGTACTGGCTGGGGAAGGTTGCTGTTTTCTTCTGAAGGGGAATCTCAGTAAGACTCAAACATATATATAAATCATGTCTCAGAGTAAGGGGGGTCGTGTCTAAAAATAAGAGGTAGATTGGAGGATGCCGAGAGAGGATAAGAGATTATTTTAGCAGGCCATTTTCATAATAAAGGTACGGTGATATGTAAGCTTTGAGTTTTGATATATGAACGCAAAGCTATGGTGTGGATCTGGACTGTTTCTCCAAGTCTCATGTACCTAGAGGTGGGGCTTTTGAGAAAACCATGAAAGCTCTGACCTCATCAGTGAATTCATCCATTTGTTGGACTAATCCTTTGATAACTGGATGAACCTCAGAAGGTTGGGACCTAGTTGGAAAAACTTGTCGTTTTAGTCAATTCTTTTATCCACTGTGACCAAGAGACCTAATAAGAACCATGTTATAGGAGGAATTTTATTTGGTGCTTATAGTTTCAGAGGTCTCAGTCCATGGATGGCTGATTCCACTGCTCTAGGCCTGAGTGAGGTAGTTCATCATGGAAGAATAAGGTGGAGGAAGAAAGCAACTGAGGACACAGCATTCAGGAAGTAGAGAGAACTCTGCTCACTAGGAATAAAATGTATACCCCAAACTCATGTCCCCAGTGATCCACCTCCTCTAGTCACATGCTACTTGCCTTTAGTTAGCTCCCAATTAATTCATTCAAATGGATTATTGCACTGATTAGTTTAACCAAACAGATAAAATGCAAATAAATAAATGAAAGATGAATGACAAAAACCCAGTAGCCCAGAGATAAGCAAGTCAGGTTTTCCTTGATTTCATATGTAAATTATTATAGCAGTAATTCCTAATTCCATTAAAAATGGTTGTGATGATACCCCAATATTAGACAGCATTGTTCTGGGTTTTAAATTTATTTTAATAATTAGTATTTAGCAGGCAAAATCGACTTTTAAGTAGGTATGTTTACTGGGATTCATCCTAAATAAAGTGAAAACTTTAATCAGAGGAAACCATTTTTCCTTTTGTACCCACTTATACCAAGCACAGTTTGTTGGATTGAACGAACCAGCACATTTCTCACTTCCGACATACCCAGATAAGTTGTCCACGATTGCCTGTGTTTATGTCAATGAGTCAAAATACGGTAAAAACTCAATTTCTTACATTCCACAAGATGAGATTATTCTTAATACTCATTTTCACGAGCCATATTCTATTCCAGGAATTTGGGGAGTAAGACTCACGATAGGTACAATCTATGAAGCACTTAAATCAGTTGTGTGTACTTTACAGGACTCAGTCCCCAGGGTGAAGTCATGAACCAGATACTGTGACCATCTGCATAAAAGGAAGTTTTGGTGACTTGACCAAAGTCACATTGCTTAAAACATGCAGAGCTGAGATTTGAATGTAACCCTGGATGACTTTAAAACCATGCTTTAATTTCTACACAAGATATTTTCTTAGTAAGAGCATTCATGCTCTCATATTAACAGCTTGTTGAAGCCACTGTGGTTTATATGACACATGTCACTCCTTGCTTTTATCTGTGATTCACTGAAGTGTGACACACATCTGTGAGCACTCCCTCAAATGTCATTGGTTCTCTTAGCCTTCTCTGTAGTCCCTCAGGGTATGGTGTTACACACCACCCCTCCTTCCCACATTTCCAACCCCATGTATCTGAGCAACTTCTCAATAATTCAGATCCCTAATCCAAGCTGTCTGGGGCCATTTGTAAATGTGGTCTACAGTATACCCTATCAATTTGATCTCATTGAATTGACCACTGAAAAAATTTTATGGGATGAAGGATTGGTGTTTGCATTTCTGTTGGTGTTGACTAAGTGACAGTACAATCTTATCCAATCTAGGCTAAGCCAGGGAAAAGTTGTCATGCCCTTCAATTACTAATACCTACTACTTCTCTGCTTTTCTTTATATATAAATTTAATTACACACGTTGCTCTCTTATTGGTGGTTTTGATGGCTGGTATTTTTAAATCTAGATACCAGTGGTAACTAATCTGAGAGTACTTGCTTTTTTATGAGTTATGAGTACATCTACCTGCCTGAAATTGAATTTTGGCATTTGTCTAGTGTTTAGAATGACTAAGAATAAAGGCACTAAGAAAAAGAACAATCTGTTCTGACTATTTGACATAGCAACTGTAATTATTTAATATTGTCACCACAATGAATAATTTTTGTGCATACATTTTTGAATTATGGAATAAATATGTAAAATCTTGAATAATATAGTTATACCGTTCTCCCCACACACAAATGAAATACTGTTACTTAAGAGGTTTGCCTTATTTTTGTACAAATGACAAGAAAATTTGTATTGAGCCAATTCTGGGCTTTTACTTGGTCTCTGTTTATTTTCTTGTAAGATTCCAAACTGCATAAATTTTAATCAGCTTTTCTATACAACTCAAAAAAAAAAAAATCAGTCATTTGGTTGAGTGCAGTTTGGACAGTAAGAATTTGTTTCCTAAAGTTTTGAGTTTTTGCCTGTGATGTGTTCTCTGTAGTCATTCTTCTGCCGAGGTTGGCAACTCCATATTTATTTATAAAGTTAGCATTTGGTTCTGAAACTCTTTGAGTAGTTTGGATATATAATCACAAGCACATTGATGAAATGTGGACAATAGGGCAATTTCCCTTGAGTGGCGTTTGTATGTCATCTTCTGTATCGTTGTACATACTGTACACACAATGTGTGCATTTGTCATTCCTCTAACTCCCCAGGCTGACTGTCATATACAAAGTGGGAAACGTTTCTTTGTCCTGATCCAAAAGAGGCTTCCAAAATACACATTACTTATTAGTAAAATTAAATATGTGACAAAAGTAATAACAGAAATCATTCATTATTTAATTATCAAAACAAGGCTGTGGGCAATTGTGCTGGGTTACATTTTTAAGAATCCTTGTTTTCATTCAACGATAAAAACTTCACCCAGCTCCTTCTTACGTACTGTGCCAACACTGGCGGCCCTTGACCATACTTCCAGACTTTTAACCATTTGTGTTAATCTCTTGAACAGTGAGGACACAGTTTCAGTTCCTCCAAATCAGTAGTTTTTGAAAAAGCACTAAGAAGGAAATTTATTTTCAGACTCCAAAGTCATCTGGCCCACATCAAGGCTATCAGTTCTTGGCTAAAATGAAACTGGTTCTGAGTTTTCCAGAAACAAGATATTTATAAGAAATTAATGGAGTGGACATGTTAAACATGTAATTTTTAAAAAGAAAACAATTGCTTATTTCCTTACCAGCACTGGAAAGAGATAAAGTGAAATGAACAGAATTAAAATAAAACGAACCTTTCCCTCAGTAAATGTTAAAACAAATGTTTAGCATAGACGTCACTTACCAGTCTTCTTCTCAACGGACATCAAATGCTCAATTGATGGAACAAACAAGACAGTATCAGTCTTCTATTCACTTCTATTGACTAAGGGCAGTGGCATGGAGACCTGTTTTATGGAGTAAAATGAGCATCTTAATCTTTTGCAAAGAGTGTTGTTATTTTCTTCCTGAGAGTGGATGTCCTGAGAGAGACAGGAGAGATTGGGACACTGATGTTTCTGATTGTCTGCCAGGACAAAGCCTGCCTGGCCACTTTAGGGGACCTGAGTCTGAATGGGGTATTCTGCTGGAAAAAGAATACCAGCCTGACTCGGTAACTTCCCACTTGGCAAGTGAAGTGTGTGTTGATTTATACAGTTGATATTTCAGAAGCACAGACAGGAAGTCAAGAAAAAATAAAAAAACCCACAGGAGCTGCCGAATGCAAGATCATGTCTCAAACACACTACCAACGTGTATTTTCTAAGAATATCACCATTAGTGTTCTGGAATTTTAAGATTAGAAACTGCAGGCTCTAATGTGGTTCAGTAGCTCACCTCAGAGCTGAATGACATGTTGAAAGTGATATCTAAGATTTGGAAGAGAGGCAGACCCAACGTGAAACTGGTCCATGTGCATGCCCTTAATCTGAAGCTCAAAGCACTTTGTTTTGGCTAACTTAGATTTCCAGTGTTACGACGACTTCCATTAAAATAAGTGTATCGCATTTTATGTATGACATACTAGGTAGAAATGTGGGTTCTCCGATTTCTCACTTCAAATGCATTTTTGCTTCTGTTCAAAGAGAGTTCACATAGTCTCAATGCCTCATCTTCTCCTTTTCTCCTAACAGAAGGGGACATAATTAGTCGCCTATTTGTACTGTTTATATTCTAAACAGTAAGAACAAGTTAAATCGCCAACAAACTGTGTCTCATAGAACTCTCCTTGGGATATTAGCTTTCACTACAACAGGGCTTTGCAGGTAGGCATTCTGGATGCTGAACACCGACGTGGTCTCTCAACCACTGCTATGGCATCCATTCATTCAACCATTGATTTGACCCATCATTGACTCCTATAATAGTTATTTCAGCAGTATCTTTGAAATACCCTTTTACATGGAAGAGTTGGGAAAAGAATAAATTCCCCTGGAGAGGACATTCCCAGGATGGATTTTAGACAGTAGGTTTAAACACTTAGTCTAGTACTAAAACATGCTTTTCCAGTCCCCAAATCCCTAGCAACGTGGACCATCTTCATGCCCCGTGCAGGACGTGTGCATGCACTGATACACAGCAATGATCATTTTCCAGTATAAACGGAGGGAGAACACTGCTGGGGAAAATTTCAAAAGGAACACAATTCAAAAATCACTCATATTTATGAAGTGTATACTTTTTGGAGTTAGTTTTGCCTTCCAAATTATGTTAGTGTTAAAGTGAATTTGCATTCTCTAAAGGAGTACCAGCTGTACATGATAGAGGAGGCTGGGTGGGGGGAGAAGAGAAGCAAATGGCCTCTAAGAGCCTGAGGCATGGGACACAGGCAAAGCAACATGCTAGTAAGTTCTGTGCACTACCAACAGAATAAACAAAATACGGACAGAACCCAAGGCTCATTGAGGACTTTCTTGGTATTATATGTGAATACAAATATATTCACACATTTAGTATTACATGTAATTACATATGTAATGCCTTTATTCAAATGCATTTTCCTCCAAAATAATTTTCCAAATACATGCTTGGAAAAATAGTCACTGCTAACATCTAGAATACAATTGAGGGCTCTATGCTCACACGAGCACATGGAAAAGGATCATCTGTCTGAGGTTTGTTCCCTGACTGAATGACATCCTCACACAAAAACACCCCTGGTTGCTTAGGCACCAAATCATTTTTAGCTCATTCATTGAAATTCAGAAATGGACCAGAAAATAAAATAAATCATGTTGGCATTCTCTTCTTCTGATCAGGCATTCGACCCTGGAAAAGTCAGGTGCGGTTGTCACAACAATAGACTGTCACCTGGAAGAGGGGTCTAGGAAGCATCCTTAGAAATACCTGCAAGTGGGAAAAGAATGGATGAGATCATAACATTGCTACAGCTGGACCTGGGGAGGATGCCACTGCGTGTCTCCTGGGCTCCCCGCAGCCACTTCAGAATTCTCATTTATGTGAAGTGGTTCTATCCAATGATCAAAGACCAGGACAGGACCCTCTCACCCCGACACCCCACCCCCACCACAACTGATATTGGATAGAGTGGATCACTTGCTGGGGAAAAAAAATTCATATTATTTCTGCTTCTCCTGTTAAATGTTTGTTTTGGCATTTTTTCAGCCTTTGTGTGTTTTTTAGTATTTCACAATTTAGAAGGATTAGATTATACCTTGTGACCAAAACGAGGGCTGGGAGTGTTAGTTCCACCCCCTTGTGATCCTATAATTATGGGGTTAAGTAGGAGTAAGGTGAGTCTAGATAAACTTTGTTTTCAGCATTTAATAGAATGTATTGAGTAGCTTAGGACGCATTATATTTCTGCATTATACACTTCAGGCATATCACATGATACCTGTGCCTTAAACATATCATATGCCGACATTTGACGAATTATGGATGGGTTGTATATACAAGGACCTGGGCACTGGAGAGGAAGCAGGAGTCCAACATATTCACCTTATGGAAAATAGAATGCACTTAACAAAATTTAAGGGATTTTCTCATTGTCACATTAAAAAAATATCAAAGTAGAACTCAGCTCTTTTTTCTTGCTCATGTCTCACGTGAGTGAGGGAATGGGTACCCGTTGGAGGGATGGGCTGGCTACAAAATCAAAGCTATGATAATAATATATCAGAAACAAAGACACAAAAGTAAGAATATTCTTTAAAGTAGGGGCATGGCCAGTTGAGTCAACCAGAGAGGTATGACTTCTAGCAAAGAAGAAGCCCCGTGCGTACTTTATTTATATGGTACAGATCAAAAAATATTGGAAGGTATATGGTTTCCGTGTGGGAGGAGTCTTGTTTCCATGCTTGCTTCTTGGTGTGGCAGGGGTCTTGCAGTAAATAAGATATTTGGCATTTGGCGTACTAGACCCATCTCCAGGAGGCAATTTGATCCTAAGGCTATGAGCCAGAATGATGTGGGGATTCTCTAACTGGGGATTTAACCTAGGTGTTCCCAAAAGAGCGGCCTTCCTGCCTTCATGGCTCCAACAAACCATATTATATATATATATATATGGCCTCCAACACTCCTGACTCTCAGCCTGGTGTGAATAAAGACATGTAGACTCTTCTAAGCAAGGACTCTTGTTTGAGGTGGGTGTGCGCATATACACTCTGTAAAATATAACATCTACGAATGAATTATGGAATTTGTTATTTACTTCTAGAATGTTGACCGAAATTCTAAGATGAATAGCTCAGAATAGCTTCAAATCTAAAGCATAACGTGCACTGGAAACCAGTCCAAAGCACAGTAAGGCTTTGGAGCTAAAGAGCAATTTTCTAAAACATGAACTGGGTTCCTACCACTGCTGAGGAAACTTGCTCTATTAGGACAAATAAAGAATGGAAAACATCTGCTACAACAACTGCTTCTTTGTTAAAGTTAGTAAGTGTGTTCTCTGAGATAGCCATTATACTAAAAATATCTCAGAAGACACAGCCCTCTTGTGGAATATCTATTTGTCCAGTGTCAAAAAAGAAAAAACAAAGGCATGTTTCTACACATTTGTGGTCATGTATTAGGTTCTGTACAAACCCTTGATGGCCACAAAATATTTTGATTCTAAAGACAGAGATAATGCAGTTGAAGTTAATAAAAGCTATATGTAAGGAATCATGGAAGGGGGGGATGGTCTTTGTCTTACTATTTTTAACAAGCTTCACAATTATTGTTTAAAGCTTCTCTTCTGTGCTCATTCTCAATAATTTTTGGAAAAGGAGGAAAACTTGCAGAAGTTTAGTGCCTGCCAAATGGGAGACCTGACATGAAGCCTTCCGTATGATGGAGGAAAAGAGAGACTGTGTGTTGTGCATGTGCATGTGCATATGCATGTGTGTGTGCACGCATGCAGGAGAAAGAGACAAAGACAGAGAAAGATAAGAGCCATAGATACAGCAAGGTGTTAGGACCCATCAAGAAGATTGGCTCCATTTAAGCGTGGGTGAGGACCTGGCTATGTGGTCCAGCACATCTCACGTGGCATCCTCTGGGAGGTATGCAAGAGAGACTGTGGCCGAGTACGATGCTGACTGGATTTAGAGCTACCTGGCTTGGAGTGCGGCTGGCCATACCTCATTTACAAACTTATTGTTTTAAAGCTGCTCCTGTGGATATGACCTGTTTTATGTTTCATCGTATCCACAAAAGATGGAAAAGAGCAAAATTCAGTGTGTAAAAGACAGAAGTGGACACTGTGCCGGCACTCTTCTTTGTACTCAGTAGAGATGGAGAAGAAATCGTCAAGCAACAGCTAAGCTGAAGCATTTTTCTTTCTTTCTTTCTTTCTTTCTTTTTAAAATCTCCTATTGGCTAATTTTACCACACTGGTCTACATGACCAATGGCACTGTGTTGGATCTTATATTGCCTACTAAGGAAGAAACACAGCCTTAGGAGTGGGTTACTGGGGATTGAACCCAGAGACACTTTACCACTGAGCTATATCCCCAGCCCTTTTTAAAAAAATATTTTACTTTGAGACAGGGTCTTTTCTTTTTCTTAGGTCTTCACTAATTTTCTGAGGCTGACCATCTTCCTGCCTCAGCCACCTGAGCTGCTGGGATTACAGGTGTGCACCATTGCACCCGAGACCAGAAACCCAGCATTTGAAAAACCCTTGGGTTCACCAGATCTTCATGTAGATCAGCTTCTCAACCCTTCAAGACATGTAGCTCTGGGGAGAGGACAAGGGAATACTGCAGGCCTGAGGCCGAACGGATGGGGTGGCAGGAAGGAGGGGGGGGGTATCCAGAGAACAGAGAAGCTGTGTAACTAAACTACACTGCTGCGTGCTGTATTTAAGGCTGAGATTCAGTCCATTACTTAGCTTGTTCACCAGGGTCCGTGGTTCTTCCTTCCTTCCCTTCTTTCTTTTATTCATGAAGATAGATAATGCATATTTTACTGGAAATACATTAGTAGCTACTTCCCAAACCTCGCCATGAACAAAAAGAAATCAATACATGGCCTCTGCACACTACCTCTGTCACCTCCTCTTCCTTGATTTTTTTTTTTTTTTAGAGATGATTTACTGCTAAAAAAGCTAATGGAATCTCTTTTTAAGTTTTCTGTTATTACAAATCTTTTGATTAAAAAAAATTGATGCCATGCCATTCAAACACACTGAGAATTAGAATGCTGGCATTTTAAAATTTAGAAGCTATTCTCTATGGAAGGTGATTTACATTTTCATTAAAGGGAATCTGTGTTCACTGTTTCTAGCTCTTAGCGGCTCATTACATGTTTACAGAAGTTTGAGTTAGAACGCAGCTGCCTTTTTGAAGTTAATTCAATTTTATTATTTTTCTATCCTTCCAGTCATTGACTTCAATATTTAATGGGTGCTTACAATGTGTCAGGGACTCTGTTAGCTTTCGGAACAGAACATGGGTAAAAAGACTTTGTCCCTGTCCTTGGAGAGCTCAGGAGTTGGGCATCGAGATACACAGGACGTCGACAAGCCTGTAGTGTTACGGGAGCACACAGTGTGTGATCTGGGGACCCAGACACGGGCAAGGGAGAGTGTGGGGAAATAGTCACCCAAAAGGAACCGTCAACTGGGACTTCCCGAGGACAAGCAATTAACCTTGGTGAAGAAAAAAAGGGCAGAAAAAAAAAGAATATCCTCTTGTTTAGGGGATAAGAAAAGTGCACAGGAAAATTTACCCTGTGGATTTTACCTTGAAGGTGAGAAAATATGGAAAAATTATAATGAGAGAAGAGAAACCGTTGAATTCACATTTCAGAAAAGTGAGTGTTAAAGAAGGAACAGCCCGGAAGTCAGGGCAGGTTGAGACACTGTCTCTGAGGCTGAGACCACAGACTCTGGGGATACACTGCCTGTATCTAAACCTGGGTTCTTCTAAGTGGTAGCTAGGAGAGCCTTGGAGAAGCCCCCTGGTCCCTTCTTCTGTGATCACAGTAGTACTTACGCTGGACATGGATTAGGAGGATCAGAAGGTTCATGTCTCTGTAGCGTTTAAACAGTGTCTGGCATATTGTATGTGCCCTGTAGAAGTTAGACCTTAGGAGAATTTTCAGTGATGTGTGAGAGAAATTAGAAGTATCTGGGAAGAGACAGGGTAGTGAGGAAAGAGAGGATGAAGCCATTCAGAGACTATTTAATAAGTAGAATCTTTGACCCTTGGTCGGTAGGTAAGGACTTAGAGAGAAACCAGAGGCGTAGGTGAACTTGGTTTTTTTGAATTTCAGGCTTGATGGGCAATCTCTGTTCATGGCAATAAGAAATACTGGAAGAAGAAACATTCCCTTGCAGATGTTTTAGGTCTTCCAAGAGATCAGGCTTGATGTCCAATAAGTGACTGAGTATCACATTTGGGAAAATAGGAAAGAGACATCCGTGGACTGTATAGGCTTAAGGGGTCCTGGGAATAGTAATGGTCAGTGAAACCATAAGGAACGTGTGGGGCTATCCCAGAGAGTGAATCAGTGCGAAAGCCAAAGGTAGCCCACAGGAGAACATTTAAGATGAGGGTAGAATTTAAAGTTCACAACAGAAAATGAAAACAGAAAGAAGAGATCCTGGCTTTCGCTGGTGATGGAGCAGTTGCCCTCATTGAATCCAACTATAACATCAGACAAGACACGTGGAATTACTGTTTTTAGATGTTGGCTCACGTATTAAGGTTCTCTGACCCCTGAGGGAAGGGAGGTGGTGATCACCATGAGGGATCCAGTCTTCTTCCTGGGGGGCAATTTTCTCACTGCCGTGCAGGAAAAAGAAGCCCAGTTAGAAATAAACAGTCTTGCCGGGGAGGCTGAGGCAGGAGGATTGTGAGTTGAAAGCCAGCCTCAGCAATGGCAAGGTGCTAAGCAACTCGGTGAGACCCTTTTCTCAATAAAATAAAAAATAGGGCTGGGGATGTGGCTCAGTGGTTGAGTTCCCCTGAGCTCAATTCCTGGTACCTAAATAAATAAATAGATAGATAGATAAATAAATAAAATAGAAATAAACAGTCCTGGTGGATTGAAGAGATGGAGCTCAGAGCTGCTCCTAAATCGTAGAAGATGCCCTATTGGGTATTTGGTTGAAGAGCAAGTTCAAGTGTGTGAGGTGATTCTCCGAGAGCCTAGGTAAAGAATAATGACTGGGATTTGTAGGCTGTTGTGACTTGGAGTAGACACAGCCACAAACACTTTAATGTTCTACCAACTAGGTTAAAAAAAATCTTCTCGAACATTGTGGATATTATGTTAATTTTTGAGGAGGACACCTATTCAGAGAAGAGCAAGTTCACAGAGACTCTAAGGGAGACTCACAGGAGCCTTAAACAATCAAACTGATTTCCATATAAATTAACTCTTCACCAGAACGTCACTCCACAAGGAGGGAACAAAGCCAAGTCCTCAATAGCTTGGTGTTTATATGTCTAGCAGGTATCGTTAGTAATTTTTCCTTGAATGTTTTGAAAAATGTAAGTTAACAAATGCATAGAAGCTCCACCAATAGACTCTGAAATTAAACAACAGAATTAGAAAACAAGGAACAATTAAAATCTGCTAAATAATTCAAAAGCAAATATGTAAACCATGAAGGAATATAAGCCTCAGTATTCATGGGTAAGTTACAAAATGTATGAAAACCTTAGAACTGTAAAATGTAATATTGAGATGAGCGGTGTAATAGGTGAGTCGTACAGCTGGTCAGACAATGAGCAAGAAAAGATGAGGGTAATTTATTCTCAAAACTTTAAAAATAGAATTAACTCAGTTCATCCAGTAGTTCTTCTTCTGGATATGTAGTCAAAAGAAATAATATTAAGGACTTGAACAGATATCTGCACACCTGTGATTAATGCGACATCATTAAAAACAGCCAAATTAAGTGTCTATCAGTAGATGGATGAACAAACAAGGGTGGAATATTATTCAATGGAATATTATTCAACTTTAAAAAGGAAAGGGATTCTGATATATGTACACCATGTATGGACCTGGAAGACATTGTGCTAAGGGAAATAAGCCTTCCACAAAGGACAAATACATGACATCACTTACATGATTCCTGGAGTAGTCAAATTCATGAAGACAGAAGCAGAACAGTGGTTGCCAGGGGAGCTGGGAAGGAACAATGGAGTTTCAGTTGCAAATAACAAAGAGTTCTGAAGATTCAGAGTATTCACGGTTGAACCACATTGCAAGTGTACTTAATGCCATAGAACTTTACCCTCAGAAATGCTTAAGATGGTAAAATTTATGCCATGCATATTTAAAGAAAATATTCTAAATGGGTAGTCCCTATGAAATCAGGCTGCAACTTTTCTTTTTTCTTTATTTTATAAAAATTTTATGATAAATATATTGAGAAATAAAATAAAGCAGCCCTCACTTTGGGCCTACTGTACAGAGTTGGCTGGCTATGGACTGAACCTCTGAGACCTGGAACCTCAAATAAACTTTTTCTTCTGTAGGTTCTCCTTGTTAGGTCTTTTGTTCATAACCATGTAAATCTGACTAAAATGCCATATTAAAATTCAGGATTTCGCCATAGAACCTAATCCAAGTCTCCACTCCTCACTGTATCAATATAAGACAACTTCAGGAATTCTGTTGACTATTCCCCTTACGATGTCTGTCTTGTCATTTTCTTGGAGAGGAACTGCATTCTCAATTATAGATATGCACTTTGGATTACAGACCACTCAATACCCAGGAACCACTCTAAACAACACGGATTTTCACAGGAAGATTATATATTCTATCTATCATTGATTAATAACTAATTAACATGGATTGACTTTTTAGCCCTGGGGAAGAAGGGTGATACTGTAAGATGTTATGGAAAGAATCAGAGAGACTTTCTGCTAGGTGTGTTAGAAGTTGAAGTACCCAGCCTTGACTATGAGGGCAGTAGGTAAAAGAGAGTATGACATGTGACCAATTGTAGGAGGGAACCATATTTTGAAAGGAAAGGAGAAGGGAATCATTCACAAATCAACGCTCAGTTTTACTTTTCCTCATCTGTTCAGTAAATACCATCAGACAATGAAGAGAGTAAATTTAACCCGCATTTCAGTGTCAGATCAGTACAATTGAATCACATCAATAAGGAACATGGGATGAGATTGAAGGTTTGAGGATTTGGGGTGAAATTCTGAAAAGACTTCCCGGGAAAGGCCTTATGGAAAAAGGGGTCTCTTGAAAAGAACTTGAAATAGGTTAGAGGAAGCCATGGAAACAACTAGAAAAAGAGTTTTCCAGGAAGAAGAAATAGCAAGTGCAAAGGCCCCAAGCCATGAACCATGCATGGTATATTCTAGCTACAGCTAAGAGAGCAGGGTAACAGGGTGAGTGAGCAGGAATGAGGAGAGCTAAAGGAAGACAGGGTGCACCAATAGGGATTTCAGCTTTTATTCAGTGAAATGGAAAGGCACTAAAAACTTTGCAGGCAACTAACACAATTGAACAAGTTGTTCAAAGATGTTTGGCTTGGCTGTGTGGAAAAGACTGCAAGGGAAAAAAGAGGAAGGAGGGAGATTAGGAAGCAGGGCCTGTTGCAGAAATTGGAAAGATAATGGGAGATGGCCACAGCGATTCTCATGAAGATGGTCACAAGCCGAGAACTAAAACAGAAATATTAAAAAAATTCTCTCACAAGCTCTCAGAATGGATAGAATAGCTTGTGATTAGCACCCCAAAGATTTGCTGTTGGTTGTGAAAAATAAGAAAAGGTGAAATAGCAAGGAAGAGCCCAAGGTATTTAGCTGAGTAACTAGAAGGGGGGGGGAGGATTATCATTAACGGAAAGATTTTGGATAGATCAGAAGTTCAAGTTTAGACTTCTCTATTGGCAGGTGGAAGTTTAAGTGGAGATTTCCAGGGAGAGGTCTCAGCTGGGATGTATCAGGAGACACAGAGAGAAAACAAAAGAGGCCTGAAGACCTGCCTGTTGAGTTTGCTGATATTTACAGGTTGGCGAGACGGAGGCCATTGAACAGTTCCAGAAATTTTGGAGAAAACAACGTAAATTGAATGACCTGGAAACCCAGGAGAAGGGAGCGATTAGCTGTACCCAAGGAGATGACTGCCCATAATTTTGAGAATAGAGGTGACTGGTGACTAGGACAAGAGCCACAAAGGCAAAATCCTGATTGGAGCAGATTTATGGAAAAGTGGCAAGTGATGAAGGAGATTTGTAGAGGATTCTCAGATGCCAATCTTCAACCCGGCGCAAACAGGACAGCGTCTTTACTACTGACCAAGCTCATTGTCTTTCACCTAAAGAGATGGATAACAAGCTGAGGGCAGGGTTTGCCCTTGTGGGCTCTTGTAAAGCCTTGGCCTGCATGCTCTTTCTATTGAATCTCAAAGTTTACTGGGTCCCCATCCCTTTAATTCAATGAAGTTGTCACAAAACAACAACAACAAAAAAGCACTGACGAATTGAATTATAGGTTGCAAACTTCTCTATTCTTAATATCAAAATATCCAAGTAAAATAAGAAGATCATCTTCTATTTATCTGTGTGAATGCACCTAATTGTTATGTTTTGGTCACAATCATTGGCAGAAGCACACGGCTTTTGTTTCTGTCTGAAATAGTCAACTGAAGTTTTTAATTTATGTGGAGTATATATGTATTATATATATACTCCACATAAATTATATAAATATATATGCATATTGAATTATAAGTTTACTTACCTATAGTTTTGTGTTCATGTGCTCTAGAATTAAACGGCCTAGTAATCCTCCTTGGTTGCTAAATTGTGAAACTTGGAAGGATCACAAATGGAGACTGATTATAAGAGTTCATGGGAAACTCGGACAACCAGGTGGAGCAAAGGGAAGGCAGAATGCATCTCAAGAATGTATTTTACATCCAGTGATATTTGACCTCAGATGGAATAAAATGTAGCTCCCTCTCCAATGTAAATATTGGCCAGTTCCTATCCCATGAAATGTTCTTGCTCCTTTCTCTGGAGACAAAGACTCTGGCCCATCAATCATAACAATACTCCCATTAGGGCTTCAAGGATGTGTTTGAATAGGAAACTCTCCGCCCTCTCTCTGTGTGGATGATTGAGAGACAGGGAGATAAGAGACAGTAAGATTTCCAGAATCCTCTTGAAAATATTTACCCAGCTTCTTCCATGTGGTCATTTCAGTGTGGGTCGTGAAAGTCACACGTTCCCCTACAGGACAGGATGGTGACAAACAAGGTGCATTCGGAACTCCCCCATCAAACTCATATTTTGGTGGAAGACAGAAGCATTAGGAGGTCAATACGGAGGAAATTCTTCTGATCATTTGCTGCACCCAGTGGAACTAAAGTAAAGGCCTGAAGCCGCCATCTGGTCTCCTTTCATCTTGTCCCCTTAGGCACAGAGCTACCTGTGTCCCAGAATTTTTGTTGGCTTTTTTTTTTTTTTCTGTTTGTTTCATCTGCTCATTCTCTTAGGCTTGTAGGTTGTGCAACTTCTTGACAAACTAAACTGAATATGTGAATTTAAAAAATAAGATAGAGGTTATAAGGATATTAAATGTATGTTCTTTCTTGGAAGTGAGGTTCATAAGAGGGAAAAGGTGACTTCTTGTGGTTGATGGAAGTGACTTTAAAGGATGATTACAGAGATCGCGCTGTTGGGAGGGGCACACTGGTCCCATTAAAAATCATACTCTTTTTCAATAATTTCTAGGAAGCATGCCTCTATATGAGAAAATTAACTTTTATTATCCTTCTGTATTGAGCCCTTAATCTGATCCAGTCAAGATACGGCTTTGCCTGTGCTGTCTCATGGAATTACCCGTTCATCTAATTATCTAGCCTATAGCTTGACTTACATCTCTTGCTAAAGACATTGAGCCCAGAAAATGCAAACCGTTTTAGGGGACTGCGAGCCCTCACTAAATGGAAGACATCTCCTGTGCTGTCTGCATGCCTCACAGATCATCCCCAAACCACTAACTCAGCTGGCATAAGAAGTGACTTGCGAACACCACTGTATGGGGGCTGGGAGACTTCTACCTTGAGGAACGATGTCGTTACAACCAGTGTGGGTCTATGGCGATGAAGGGGATACTCGCCATCACCAAGATGTCTCCTCCCAACCCATAGCCGTAGTGCTCCTCTTGTTGCATGAAGTTAAGTTCTTGATTGTGGAAAATGTTATGAGTTTGGGATACTTTGTCCACTCTTATCGCCTAAAGTACACTGTGCCCATGATGACATGGGGCTAATTTATCAGAACAAGGGTGTTAATCTTTAGTTTATGATTTAATAGTTTATATGATTCTAACCTCCACGATGCCTACTGTCATGGGCGGGATCTGAGAGTGTAATTGGGTTTCATTTCAATGTCCTTGTCTTAGTTTAGAGTACTCGGAAACTGTGAAGTTATTATGAGATTCAAAGTCCTTAAAGATATGTTCAGTTCTCCTGACAGCAATGCTTTCAGAAAGGAAGAGTGAGTGATGCTTCCATTTTAGTTGTGAATGTACTGGAAGGCACAGAAGGCTAATGACATGCCCCAGGATAGAGGTTTACTCGGTGGAATTGAAGATACTAAAATTCAAAGCCCCTGACTTCCCGAGTCCTTTGCCAAGTATCCATCATACTCCAATATCAAACAAAATCAAGTGAAATGCATAAAAATATGCCTTTGTAGAGTAATGCAGAAAGAATGAATGCAGATGGGCCAAGTGCTTGGAATCTTTAACAAAAATACCAGGAGGAATCTTTAATTTTTTTTTTTTTTTTTTTTTGTCCAGGAAGATAGCTTTTCCTCGATGTTTGGATGAAATGTTCCTCAAGGTAGATATTGTAAAATAAAATTTGCAATCAGAGGGAATTTGTTACCTTTTTTTCACCTTTTACTTTTAAATTGTCACCAGTCCCAAGGTAGCAGTCTTGAATTCTAGGTGGGAGCCATCTCATCAATAGTTGGATGGTTGGTTGCCCCATCATTTTTTTACGGGAACACACACATTCCACAACAGGTGATGACTCTTAAAAAACAAATGTTTCCCATTCTTGGGACTTACTTCACTTTGCAAAATGAATGACAGGCATGCCGAACAAGTACCCCGTGTGTGCCGAGGAGGTAC